TCCACCCCAAAATTCCCTTCATTCCACCCCAAAATCCCCTTCATTCCACCCCAAAACCCTTCATTCCACCCCAAAATCCCCTTTATTCCAAAAAACCCTTTTTTTGCAATTTTTTCCGAAGGTTAAAAAAAAGCCCCACCCCCTGCTTTTAAGCCCCACCCCATCACTTTTGGCTCCTCCCACTCCTTTAGGCCCCTCCCCCCAATGACCTGGGTTTTAGGGGAAATGGGGGAGGGGTCAAAGGGGGAAAATTTGATGATTTAGGGAGAAAAACGGGGTTAAAAAGAAGGTTTTTTGCCTCTTCTCCCTGTTTGAGCTCCGCCCTCCCTCCCTTAGCCCCGCCCCCTTAGCCCCTCCCCCACCTGTGGATGTAGCTCTAGCCCCGCCCCCGCCCCTCCCCCACCTGTGGATGTAGCTCTAGCCCCTCCCCCCTTAGCCCCTCCCCCACCTGTGGATGTAGCTCTAGCCCCGCCCCCGCCCCTCCCCCACCTGTGGCTGTAGCTCTAGCCCCGCCCCCCTTAGCCCCTCCCCCACCTGTGGATGTAGTTCTAGCCCGCCCCCGCCCCTCCCCCACCTGTGGCTGTAGCTCTAGCCCCGCCCCCCTTAGCCCCCTCCCCACCTGTGGATTTAGTTCTCGCGGTTGGTGGGCAGTTCGTAGTTGATGACCAGAGAGACCTGCTGGACGTCGATTGCCCGGGCCTGGGGGGGGAGGGGATGGGGTCAGGGGGGTTGGGGAGGGGCGTTTGGGCGGTGGGGAGGGGGCAGGACCCTCAAGGGTTTTGGGTCAAAATGGGTTTCAGGGGAAAAAAACACAGGGTTTTAAGGGGTGGGGGAGGGGCTCTGTAGGTGGGGGAGGGGTTTTTTGGGTGGGGGAGGGGCTGTGAGGGCGGGGGAGGGGCTGTGAGGGTGGGGGAGGGGCCCTGAGGGCAGGGGAGGGGCCGTGAAGGTGTGGGAAGGGCTGTGAGGGTGGGGGAGGGGTCGTGAGGGCAGGGGAGGGGCCCTGAGGGCAGGGGAGCGGCCGTGAGGGTGGGGGAGGGGCTGTGAGGGTGGGGGAGGGGTCGTGAGGGCGGGGGAGGGGCCCTGAGGGTGGGGGAGGGGCTCTGTGGGTGGGGGAGGGGTTTTTTGGGTGGGGGAGGGCCCCTGAGGGTGGGGGAGGGGCCCTGAGGGCGGGGGAGGGGCCGTGAGGGTGGGGGAGGGGCTCACCAGGAGGTCGGTGGTGATGAGGACCCGGCTGGATCCCGACCGGAATTCCCTCATGATGACGTCACGCTCCTTCTGGTCCATGTCCCCGTGCTGGGGGGGGGGAGGGGACAGCTCAGGGCTCAGCCCCTCCCCCCCAGAGGCCCCTCCCCCTTTGCCCCTCCCCCCCAGGCCCCTCCCCCACCATGGCGGACACGGTGAAGTCGCGGGCGTGCATCTTCTCCGTCAGCCAGTCCACCTTGCGCCGCGTGTTGATGAAGATGACGGCCTGGGTGATGGTCAGCGTCTCGTACAGGTCACACAGCGTGTCCAGCTTCCACTCCTGGGGGGCAGGAGTGACCACTGAGTGACCACTGAGTGACCACTGAGTGACCACTGACCCACTGACCACTGATCGATCAGTAACGGATCAATAACTGACCCAAACCCCACCAATAACGGATCAATAACTGACCCCAGGTCACACAGCGTGTCCAGCTTCCACTCCTGGGGGGCAGGAGTGACCACTGAGTGACCACTGAGTGACCACTGAGTGACCAACTGACCAATAACAGATCAATAATGGATCAATAACTGACCCAAACCCCACCAATAACGGATCAATAACTGACCCCAGGTCACACAGCGTGTCCAGCTTCCACTCCTGGGGGGCAGGAGTGACCACTGAGTGACCACTGAGTGACCACTGAGTGACCAACTGACCAATAACAGATCAATAATGGATCAATAACTGACCCAAACCCCACCAATAACGGATCAATAACTGACCCCAGGTCACACAGCGTGTCCAGCTGCCACTCCTGCGCCCCAAATAAATGACCCCTGAGTGACCACAGAATGACCAACTGATTAACTGACCAATGACTGACCAATAGAGGATCAATAACTGACCCAACGTGGATCAATAACTAACAAAAAAACCCACTGAAAACTGACCCCAAACCACCCAGAAATGGAGCCAAAACTGAGTCAAAAACCACCCAAAACTGACCCAGAAAACGACCAAAAAGTGACCCAGAACTGACCAACAAATGACCCAAAACTGTCCCAAAACCAACCAAAAAAGACCCAAAACTGTCCCGAAACCAACCAAGAAATGACCCAAAACCCCCAAGAAATGACTCAAAACCCCCAAGAAATGACCCAAAACCCCCAAGAAATGACCCAAAACCCCCAAGAAATGACCCAAAACCCCCAAGAAATGACCCAAAACCCCCCAAGAAATGACCCAAAACCCCCAAGAAATGACCCAAAACCCCCCAAGAAATGACCCAAAACCCCCAAGAAATGACCCAAAACCCCCAAGAAATGACCCAAAACCCACCAAGAAATGACCCAAAACCCAAGAAATGACCCAAAATCCACCTGCAGAGACTCCAAAGTGACACAAAACCGGCCAATAAGAGACCAAAGGACCCAAAACCGCCCCAAATCCCCCCAAACCCACCCAAAACTGCCCTTAAATGCCCAAAACTGCCCCAAACCCCCCCCCAAAACTGCCTCAACCCCCCCCAAATTGCCCCAACCTCCCCCAAACTGCCCTTAAATGCCCCCAAACCCCCCCAAACTGCCCCAAATCCCCCAAACCCCCCCAAACCGCCCCTCGCTGCCCCAAACCTGCCCCAAACCCCCCAAAAACTGCCCTTAAATGCCCCAAACTGCCCCAACCCCCCCCAAAACTGCCCCAAACCCCCCCAAACCTGACCCAAACCCCCCAAACTGCCCCAAACCCCCCCAAACCGCCCCTCGCTGCCCCTCCCCCCCGGGGCCGTGTCCCCCCCGCTCAGGGGTCTGTCCCACGGGGGGAGGGGCAGCCCATGGTTTGGGGGGGGTCTCTCTGGCACGGGGTGACTGTGGGGGGGCCACGGGGGGGGCGACCCACAAATCCTGAGCCCATGCGGGGATGGGGGGGACTGGGGGGGGATTTGGGGGGATTTGGGGGATTGGGAAGATTTGGGGGATTGGGGGGGTTTGGGGGATTGGGGGGATTGGGGGGATTGGGGGGATTTGGGGCATTTGGGGGATTTGGGGTATTGGGGGATTTGGGGGGATTGGGGGTAAATGGGGGGATTTGGGGGGATTGGGGGGATTTGGGGGGATTTGGGATAAATGGGGGGATTTGGGGTAAATGGGGGGATTTGGGGGATTTGGGACATTGGGGGGATTTGGGGGGATTGGGGGGATTTGGAGGATTTGAGGGATGGGGGTATTTTGGGGGATTGTGGGGGATTTGGGGATTGGGGGGAGGGATTGGGGGATTGGGGGGATTTGGGGCATTGGGAAGATTGGGGGATTTGGGGGATTTGGGGGATTGGGGGGGATTTGGGAGCTTGGGGGGATTTGGGGGGATGGTACGCTTTGGGGGCATTTGGGGGGGGATTTGGGGGATTTGGGGGGCTTTGGGAGGATTGGGGGGATTGGATTTGCGGGGATTGGGAAGATTTGGGATTGGGGGGGTTTGGGGGATTTGGGGGATTGGGGGGGTTTGGGGGGATTGGGGGGATTTGGGGGGATTTGGGGGATTTGGGGGGGATTTGGGGGGACCCCTGACCCAAAGGGACCCGATTGGACCCAAAATACCCCAAAACCGACTGAAAACAGCCCAAAAATGTCCCCAAACCGGCCCCAAAATGGCCTAACCCCGACCCAAACCACCCAAAAATGACAGAAATTGTCCCAAAGCGACACAGAAGATCCCAAATCCAGCACAAAACATTCCAAACTGCAGCCAAAATACACGAAAGTGACCCAAAATACACCAAATGACCCAAAATACACCAAAATAACCCAAAATACACCAAAATGACCCAAAATACCCCAAACCCGACAAAAACCACCCCCAGACCGACACAAAACACAACAAATCTGACCCAAAATACCCCAAAGAAACGACACAGAACCCCCCAAATCTGACTGAAAACCCTCCAAAAAACCCGAATCTGATCCTCAATGACCCAAAATCCCCCAGAATTGCCCCAAAATCCCCCCAAACCTCTCTCTCGCCGTTGATGTAGAACTGGCGGATCCCCTCCAGCGTCAGCCCCAGAACCCCCCAAAACTGACCCCAAACCCCCAAAACCGACCCAAAGCCCCCCAAAACTGACCCCAACCCCCCCCAAAAACCTGAATCTGATCCTCAATGACCCAAAATCCCCCGGAATTGCCCCAAAATCCCCCAGAATTGCCCCAAAATCCCCCAAACCTCTCTCTCGCTGTTGATGTAGAACTGGCGGATCCCCTCCAGCGTCAGCTCCTCCTGCCCCAAAACTGACCCCAAACCCCTCAAAAACGACCCCAAACCCCCCAAAACTGACCCCAACCCCCCCCAAAAACCCGAATCTGATCCTCAATGACCCAAAATGCCCCGGAATTGCCCCAAACCTCTCTCTCGACGTTGATGTAGAACTGGCGGATCCCCTCCAGCGTCAGCTCCTCCTTCTTCACCAGGATCCGGATCGGGTCCCTCATGAACTTCTTGGTCACCTCCAGCACGTCCAGGGGCATCGTGGCCGACAGCAGGACCACCTGGGGACCCGAAATTTGGGGTCAGAACCCTAAAAAATGGGGTCAGAACCCTAAAAAATGGGGTCAGAACCCTAAAAAATGGGGTCAGAACTCAAAAAAACCCCTAGAAAACGGCCCCAGAAACCCCTAAAACTCATCAGAGACCCCCAAAACCCACCAGGGACCCCCAAAACCCACCAGGGACCCCCAAAATCCCCCCCAGGGGCCTCGTGGCCGAGAGCAGGACCACCTGAGGACCCGAAATTTGGGGTTAGAACCACAAAAAATGGGCTCAGGACCCAAAAACTGAACTCGGGTTCTTAAAACAAACCTAAAACCCCCCCCAAAACCCCTTAAAATTCATCAGAGACCCTCAGAAACCAACCAGGGACCCCCCAAAACCAACAAGGGACCCCCAAAAAACAGCCTGAGAAGCCAAAAATGGGGTCAGGACCCCCAAAAATGGGGTCAGGACCCCAAAAAATGGGGTCAGGACCCCCAAAAACCTCAAACCCCACCCTTAGAAACCACTAAAACCCTCAATCTCCACCCCCCAAAATCCCCCCAAAAAACCCTAAAACGCCCCAAAAGCCCCCTGGGGACCCCCCAAATTTTATTGGGACCCCCCAAATTTTATTGGGACCATCCTGGGACCCCCCAAAACCCCTCCTGGGACCCCCAAAATCCTCCCAATTCACCCCAATCCCCCCCAATGCCTCCCTTAACCCCCCCACAAAACCCCCAAAAACGCCCAATGCCTCCCTTAACCCCCCCACAAAACCCCCAAAAACGCCCCAAAACCCCCCTGGGGACCCCCCAAATTCCATTGGGACCATCCTGGGACCCCCAAACCTTTCCTGGGACCCCCAAAATCCCTCCTGGGACCCCCAAAATCCCCCCAATTCACCCCAAAAGCCCCCTTACCCATCCCGGCCGCCAGGGGGCGCTGCTGGGTCAGAACGGAGCGTTTTTGGGGTCAATTTTGGGGGTTTTTGGGGGGGGTTTGGGGGGGTTTTGGGGGGGTTTGGGGTGATTTGGGGCCCCCCCACCTGCGTGTTCCCGCTCAGCTTCTGGAAGATGTCGTAGATCTGGTCCTTGAAGCCCCTGCTCAGCATCTCGTCGGCCTCGTCCAGCACGAACATCTTGATGAATTTGGGGGCTGGGGGGGGATTTGGGG